TTTGTTCCTAAAACCGCTTGTGTAGTTTTAAAACCGGTTGCTGATTTTTCTAAAAGATTGAAACCGATAAATGTTTTTCCCCAAAATTGCTTAAACCGATTTTAATGAAAACTGGTGAAGATTTTTACTAAACCGGTTTTGCTTTTTCAAAACCGGTTAAATTTTTTTTAAACCGGTTGTGCTTTTCAGAACTTTGCTAAAATTTATTTTGAAACCGAAAGCGCTTTTTTTGCAAACCGATTAGACTTTTATAAAATCGATTTTGCTTTCTGAAAACCGGTTGAGCTTGTTCTAAAACCGGTTTCGGTTCACTTAAAAAAATATTTATCAAAATCGAAACCGCATTTTTTGTAAAACTGATTCCAATTTATTTTCAAAATAGTAAAAAAAGGACTCTACTGACGATCAAAATTTTAAAATTGTAAAAAAAGACTCTACTGACGAGCAAAATATATAAAAAGTAAAAGGGGCTCTACTGACGAGCAAAATATATAAAAAGTAAAAGGGGCTCTACTGACGAGCAAAATATATAAAAAGTAAAATGGGACTCTACTGACGAGCAAAATACAAAAATAGTAAAAAGGAACTCTACTAACGAGTAAAATATATAAAAAATAAAAAGGGACTCTACTGATGATCAAAATACAAAAAAATTGTAAAGTCTTTGGAAAATCAATTTTGTTTTTAGAAAAACCGATTTCGCTTTAAAACTGACTCCAATTTATTTTGAAAACCGGTTTAGCTTTCTTGCAACGAACACTAAATTTAAATACAAATTTAATCCGATATTAAACTAATAAAGTTTATAAATGCTTTTTATACCGATTTCGCTCTTTTTAAAACAAATGCACATTTTACCGAATACCGATTTCAGTTTATTTAAACCGGTTGTAAAATCATTGCACTTTTTTCTTGCGCAATTTTCCAAAAAACCGATCGCAATTCTTTTCCCTAAACCGAAAGTGCTTTTTCCAAAAATCTAATATTCCTTTCCCCAAAAACCGGTTTTTCGAAAACCGATCGAGCTTAAAGTGCTCTCAAACTCATCCTTTAGTTCAAACCGAAAATAAAATCGTATATAAATATATATATATATATATATATATATATATATATATATATAAAATTATCATTAATCATATAATTAATAATAAATGGAGATCTGTCTTATCAACTAATTATTTAATTAATCAATTAATTAATTAATTAATATTAACAAAAATAATAATCACATTTTAATAATCAATTTAGTTAATTAATATTTACAAGGTAGAAAAAATTTGCAAAGTATTTTCAGTTTAGTTTAATATAGGCCAAATATTATTTTCAAACCAAATTTTAAATCGAACCAAAATTGCGTAAAAAATTGAGTATTGGTTAAAAAAAATTTTTCGAAATTTTTTTTTCAATCACATACTTCGCTTTTGGCTTAATTTAATAATTTTTCATTATAATTAATTGAAACAACCTTAATAATTGTATAGAATGTCTTAGAGGCTAAAAATACATGAGTTTTGTGTCACCGACTGATACGGAACCGGTTTTGAACCGAAGGAAAATAATAAAAGATAAATTTTTCAGTATAAAATAATGTGATGTGTATTTGATTATTTTAAAGTGACTTCAGGTCTTTTGGTTTATTTTGAATTGATTAATGGTTTATTTGCAAACCGGTTCTACCGGTCGGTTTATACCGGTTGAATTTTTTACATTAATTGAAATCGATATTAGATTAATTTTATACCGATTTAAATTAATGTTAACTCGATTTCCAACCGATTTTTTGAAATTGTTCACACTTGTTTTTTTTTGGAAAACCGGTTGCTGGTTTATTTTAAACCGGTATCTAGTCAAAATTTAATGTATTTAAAATGTAAATTTAATTTAATGTGAATAGTTAAGTTAATGTTGGTGATATTTTTAATCGATCACATAAATTTGATGAACTGACTTTTGGTTTTGTTCTAAACCGGACTTTTTTCAATTGTTTGCAGTTCCGGTTTCTTTAAGAAACCGGTTTCCGTTTCATTTTAAACCGGTATCTAGTCAAAATTTAATGTACTTAAAATGTAATTCTAACTTAATGTAAATAGTTAAGTTAATGTTGGTTATTTTTTTAATAAATCACTTAAATTTGATGAACTGACTTTTGATTTTGTTCTAAACCGGTTTCCGGTTTATTACAAAACCGTATCTTGGTAAAATAAAATCAGGTTAAAATGTTTCATATTTGAACCGATCTAAACCAACGTCAGTTAATTAGTTATCGATTTAAGTTAATGTAAACCGATTCTTTAATTTTGATCTCACTTCTAATTTTGCGCGAAACCGGTTTCTGGTTTATTACAAACCGGTATCTAGTCAAAATTAAATAAGTTTAAAACAGTTAAGTTTAAACCGATTTAAATCAACATTGACTACATTTAAAACTGATTTATTGAATTAATAAATAATCGGTTTTAAAATACTCAGGAAACCGGTTTGGTATAACTTAATAAACCTAAAACCGGTTTTTTGAATATTTTAATTTAAAATGTAAAAAACTAGAAAATCACCTCAAATTTAAATGATCTTTATATAAATCCAACACGTTTAGAAGTGTTATATAATCGGTTTTAAAAAAATATTTAGAAAACCGGTCCGGTATAACTTGATCATCTTAAAACCGGTTTTTTGAACATTTCAAAACAAAATATAGAAAACCAAAAATCTGTACCTAAGAGAACTTTCTTTTAAGAACCAAAAAATTTAGAAGATTGAAAAAAAAAACAGAAAATTTAGTGATGTAATCGGTTTTAAAAAAATATTTAGAAAACCGGTTTGGTATGACTTAAAACCGGTTTTCTGATTATTTTCAAATGTAAGAATGAAATGTAGAAAATCAGTTCAAATTTAAGTGATATTTATGTAAAACCAACAAATTTAGAAGTGTGATGTAATCGGTTTTAAAATATTAACAAAACCGGTTCAGTTTAATCGAATAAACCTACAACCGGTTTTTTTAATAATTTTAATTTAAAATGTAAGAATAAAATGTAGAAAATCAGTTCAAATTTAAGTCAAATCTGTTTGTACCTAAGACAACTTTCTTTTAAACCAATTTAAACCAACAAATTCAGAAGTGTTATATAATCGGTTTTAAAATATTTAGAAACCAGGTCCGGTATAATTTAAAAACCGGTTTTTTAAATTATTTTAATTTAAAACGTAAGAATAAAATGTAGAAAATCAGTTCAAATTTAAGTGATATTTATGTAAAACCAACAAATTTAAAAGTGTGATGTAATCGGTTTAAAATACTCAGAAAACCGGTTCGGTTTAGTACCAAAAACCGGTTTTTCAAATTATTTCAATTTGAAATGTAACAATAAAATGTAGAAAATCAGTTCAAATTTAAGTTATCATTATTTTAAATGAACAAATTTAGAAGTGTAATGTAATCGGTTTTAAAATATTTTGAAAACCGGTTTGGCATAACTTAATAAACCTGCAACCGGTTTTCTGGATATTTTAAAACAAAATCTGAAAAACCAAAGATCAATTCGTACTTAAGTGATTGTTTTTTTTTAACAAATAAAATCAGAAGTGGGATGTAATCGGTTTTAAAATACTCAAAAAACCGGTCCGGTATAACTTAATAAACCTTCAACCGGTTTTCTAATTATTATAAAACAAAATATAGAAAACCAAAAATCAATTTGTACTTAAGTGATTGTTTTTTTTTAACAAATAAAATCAGAAGTGGGATGTAATCTGTTTGAAATATTCAGAAAACCGGTTTGGTATGACTTAATAAACCTACAACCGGTTTTTTAATATATTTGAATTTTTATTCTTACATTTTAATTTAAAATGTAAGAATAAAATGTAGAAAATCAGTTCAAATTTAAGTCATTTTTATTTAAAACCAACAAATTTAGAACTGAGTATTTTAAATAACAATAATTCAAAATACTCAGAAAACCGGTTCGGTTTAGTACCCAAAACCGGTTTTATAATTATTTTAATTTAAAATGAAAGTATAAAACGTAGAAAATCAGTTCAAATTTGAGTCATTTTTATTTAAAACCAACAAATTTAGAAGTGTGATGTAATCGGTTTTAAAAAAATATTTAGAAAGCCGGTCCGGTATAGCTTAGTAACCGGTTTTCTAATCATTTTAATTTAAAATGTAGAAAATCAGTTTAAATTTAAGTTTAAAATTAAAAATTAAAATTAAAATTAAAATTAAATCAGTTTAAATTTAAAAAAAATAGAAGTGTGATCTAATTGATTTTAAAATATTCAAAAAACCGGTTTACTTTAGTACCGAAAACCGGTTTTCTAATTATTTTAATTTAAAATGCAAGAATAAAATGTAGAAAATCAGTTCAAATTTAAGTCATTTTTATTTAAAATCAACAAATTTAGAAGTGTGATGTAATCGGTTTGAAAATACTCAAAAAACCGGTTCGGTTTAGTACCCAAAACCGGTTTTATGATTATCTCAAATTTAATTTCTATTAAATTTAATCTAATTCTCTATTTATATGAACCCATTCTAAGTTTAGTTGTTAATTTAGTTGTAGCAATGTGTCAATTATCTTCCCATCGGTTTCATACCGGTTTAGTATCAGTCCATTCCTCAAACCGACGTCGGTTTTCACTTAGAAAAATTGGCAGTGGCATTTTATTCCCTATATATACACATGACAAATTTTTGTTTATACAATTACTATATATATTATATATATAAAATTTAAATTTTTCCACAAAATATATTCTTAGAGAAAAAAAATATCCACGACATCCATTAGAAAATGCGGTTAACTTTAATTCTAATTTAATATATGGCATATTTTGATTGACGTAATAATTGATCGATGATTGTGTTCGATGTTGGGGTCACCAATTTCGAAGTCGTCGAAGGGACAGACTAACCTTGGTGTGTCAGCTAAAATTTAGGGAACTTGGTTCCCTTGGTTTTTTTAGCTTGTCCTTAAGGGTTGTTTTTTTAGGGCTTATCGTGTTGCTTTCAGGATTCCACAGGCTACTGCAACGACGACTGCTGTTACGAAGGGCCAGGATAAGTTTTCCTGAAAAAAAAATGACTAGGTTAGGTCCAAACAGGTGCTAAATATTAGCCTTAACTTGTCTTTTGAGGATAAAAAATTATTACACCATTTTTTTATTTTTTATAAAATATTTTTGTAATCAATCAAATCAAATTTAGATTTTGATATTGAAAAAGGACTCTACTGACAAGCAAATTAAATATAAAAAGGGACTCTACTCACGACCAAATCAAATCTAGATATTAATTATGAAAAATGACTCTACTGACGAGCAAATTAACAAAAGGAACTCTACTGACGTGCAATTCGATGAAAAAACTGGCGAGCAAATCCTATCTATACTTTGATTATGAAAAAGGGCTCTACTGATTCAAGTGAACAAATTGAATATATATTTTAATTATGAAAAAAAGGACTCTACTGATGAGTAAATGAAATTGTAAATTAAAATATAAGAAGTGACTCTACTGATGAACAAATTAGAATATAAAAAGGGTCAAATTTGATTTTTTAAGAATTCAATTTTCTTTATTAACTTTCCCATAGAGTAAGTTATTGTAATAGACCGAAAATCGAAATTGAAATTTTTTACATTTCTCGACGTTTTGAAGGTTTCTGAACATTTTTAAGGGGCATACTTCAGAAATGAAATGCATGTGTTTGTGTTTGTTTTGTATGTCCGCATTTTTTGTAATTTTGGATTAAAAATTCAAAAAGTGACCCTGTCTAAGTACAGTCTAAGCGCCACTCTGGTACAAATGTTCACCCGAGTGCGCTTAGACTGTTTATGTACTGGAGCACTTTTCCAATTCGAATTTTGTGAAAACTATTGAAAAATGTGAAAATGCCGCCAAGCTAAGCACAGTATAAGTGAAAATGTCGCACAGAATTATTTGCAAATGCAGATTAGACTGTGACTGTACGGGAGCACTTTTTCAATTTTGTGTAAAATTATAAATCTAGATGGAAAATTAGAAAAGGGACTCTACTGACAAGCAAATTAAATATCTAGATGGAAAATTACAAAAAGGACTCTACTGACAAGTAAATTAAATATCTAGATGGAAAATTAGAAATGGGACTCTACTGACGAGCAAATAAAAATTTTAATCTAAAAAATTAAAGAAAGGACTCTACTTTCGAGCAAATAAAAATTTCAATCTAGAAAATTAAAGAAGGGACTCTACTTACGAGCAAAGTTTATTTTTGTTATAGAAAATTAAAGAAAGGACTCGACTTACGAGCAAAATTTATTTTTGTTTTAGAAAATTAAAAAAGGGACTCTGCTTACGAGCAAAGTTAATTTTTGTTTTAGAAAATTAAAAAAGGGACTCTACTGACGAGCAAACACAAATTTTGACATATAAAAATAAGAAAAGAACTCTACTGACGAGCAAATATTGATTTCATTCTAGAAAATTAGGAAAAAGCATTCTACTGACGAGCAAAGTTTATTTTTGTTTTAAAAAATTAAAAAAGGGACTCTACTGACAAGCAAATGTAAATTTATATTTATAATATTAAGAAAAGGGACTCTACTGACGACCAAAAAATAATTTTTATTCTAAGAATTACAAATTCTGATATAGAACCTTGAGAGCAAAAAAGGACTCTACTGATGAGCAAATATAAATTTTAATCTAGAAAATTAGGAAAAAGAACTCTACTGACGAGCAAATGTAAATTTATATTCATAACATCAAGAAAAGGGACTCTACTGATAAGCAAACTTAATTTTGAACTAAAAGATTAATGAAGGGACTTTACTGACGAGCAAAATTTTTTTTTGGTTTTAGAAAATTAAAAAAGGGACTCTACTGACGAGCAAACACAAATTTTGATATATAAAAATAAGAAAAGAACTCTACTGACGAACAAAGTTCATTTTTATTTTAGAAAATTAGGAAAAAGAACTCTACTGACAAGCAGATATTAATTTCATTCTAGAAAATTTAGAAAAGGGATTCTACTGACAAGTAAACTTGATTTATATCTTAAATATTACAAAAAAAGACTCTACTGACAAGCGTATTCAAATTTGATCGAGAAGATTACAAAAAGGGACTTTACTAACGAGCAAACATTAGAATCCATTTAAAATATTACAAAAAAGGACTCTACTGACAAGCAAACATCAAAATCCATCTAAAATATTACAAAAAAGGACTCTACTGACAAGCAAATTCAGAATTTGATCCAGAAATCTATAAAAAAAAATTTATTCTAGAAAATCATAAAAAAAAACTCTACTGACGACCAAATTTCAAACTCACCTTATTTCCATCTTGTCCATCACCCAAACCACCATTAGATTTCCTTCTTATATTCTTCTTCCTGGAAACCGGTACTTGCCCTTCGAAAACCTTCAACCTGTCATAGTACTCTCTATCCCTTAAATCCTGGCTCAAATCATCCTGAGGTTGCTTTTTCAGCAACCTGGTCACCTTGGGACTTGTGCAGGGGAATCTTGTTCCATTCGAAGTACCAGGAGTAGATTGATCATCAGATTGATCAAAATTACCTCTCCTGGTAACCAGATTATCTTGGTAATCTTGATTACCATGGCTACCCTGGTTACCCTGGCTACCCTGGTTACCCTGGTTACCCAGATTGCTAGAACTACCTCTCCTGGTTTCATCTAAACTTCTATCTAATCTTCTATCATCCTCCTGGCCAACCTCTTCTACAAGTCCATCGATCTGGTTCAACCCTTGCTGGTTACCAATAAAATTTTGCTGGTGCTGATGGTAGTAATTAAGGGTAGAATTTGGTGAATTCTGGTGGTTACCCTGGTTGCTAGAACTACCAGATCTTCTATCATCCTGGCCAGATGTATCTATTTCTTGGTGGTAGTAGTTCAGGGTGGAATTGGGCGAATTTAGGTTGCCATTTGGGGATATCTGGGTCGTATCCAGGGGTAGAATGGCAGTGTTGGGGAAGAAGACTTCTGCGAAGTTGTTCTGGTGCCCGTTTTGGCTGTAGTTGGGCAAATGGGGGCTGCAGGTGGGGCTCGGTGGGGCTGGTAGGTTGGAGTAGTAGTTGTTACCGACTGGAAAAAAAAAATTATTTAGTGAATAAAGTTTTGCTTGTGGTTTTTCGAAACGTGTATATAGTTCGGTTAGTGTTTTGGGACTCACTTGCGCACTTTTGTTCGCGCACGTTGGAGGATGTTGATATAGAGAAAACGTATATGAAGGATGAAGTCATCAATTTTTGTGCGTTTTTTGTTAATATCTTTAGTATTTTGTTAGAAAAGTATATAATTTTATAATTTGTGTTCAAAGTATATACTTTTAGGAATATAATACTAAAATTGCAGTTCTTAACTATATATAGTACAGCTGGTATTAATTTTTGAACTATTAGTGCTAATATAAAAAATAACATAGATTTTGACTTTTGTGGGTGCACCTTTTTAGTTTTTCGTTAATATTGTTTTTTAATTTGTTATAAGAGTATAAAATATTTTGATTTGTGTTCAAAGTATATACTTTTAGGAATATTATACTGAAATTTCAGCTCTTAACTATGTATAGTACAGCTGGTATAAATTTTTGAAATATTAGTGCTAATATCAAAAATAACATAGATCTTGACTTCTGTGGATGCACCTTTTTAGTTTTTTGTTAATATTTTTTATTAATTTGTTATAAAAGTATTAAATTTTATAATTTTTTATTGAAGTATATACTTTTAGTAATATTATACTAAATTTACAGCTCTTAACTATATATAGTACAGACGGTATAATTTTTTGAAACTAGGATATCCTAATGGGAGTTAACACGTTGTGAATGACAATTTTTTGTAAATTTATAGTGTATTTTTTCAGTTTTTTGTTAATATCTTTGATATTTTGTTAAAAAAGTATTAAGTTTTTTGAATGGTATTCAAAGTATATACTTTTAGGAATGCTATACTAAATTTAGAGTTCTTAACTATATATAGTACAGGCGGAATAAATTTTGAAACTGTTAATAATGCTATAAAAATGCAATTTGAATTTATTTCTGATCGTGCACATTTTTAGTTTTGCGTTAATAACTTAATCATTTTGTTAAAAAAGTAGGAATTTTTTTTATTTGTATTTAAAGTATGTACTTTTAGAAATATTTTACTAAAATTACAGTTCTTAACTATATATAGTACAGCTGGTATAAATTCTAAAAATATTAACAATGTATGAAAAATTAAATTTCTGTTTATTATTGTGAGTGACGAATTTTTGAAAATTATTCAAAAACTTTACTAATTTTTATGAAAACATAAAATTCTAAGTATGCACACCTAAAGTATATATTTTAGGGAATATTATACTAAAATTACAGCTCTTAACTATATATAGTACAGCTGGTATAATTTTTTGAAATATTAATGTTAATATAAAAAATAACTTATATATTTACTTTTAAAAGAGTATATTTTTAGTTTTTTTGTTAATATCTTTAGTATTTTGTTAAAAAAAGTCTTAATTTTTTTAAATGGTATTGTAAGTAATATTTCATAGAAATGTCTATATAGGTAGGTTAGTATTTTGGGACTCTCTTGCACACTTTTGTATACACTTGTTTGTGGATATTGATATAGAGAAAACGTAAATGGATACTGAAGTCATCAATTTTTGAAAAAAAAGGAAAATTATTTTATTATTGTATTTTAATGTTTGAGGTTTTGTTTGTGGTTTTTAGAAACAAGGCGAGATGGTTCTGGTGTTTTTGGGACTCACTTGCGCACTTTTGTTTGCGCACGTTTGTGGATGTTGATATAGAGAAAACGTGTATGAATACTGGAGTCATCAATTTTTGTGCGTGCACATTTTTAGTTTTTCGTTAATATCTTGGATATTTTCTAAAAAAAAGTATAAAATTATTTGATTTGTATTCAAAGTATATACTTTTAGCAATATTATATTAAAATTTGAGTTCTCAACTATATATAGTACAGCTGGTATAAATTTACTATTAGTGCAAGGATCAAAAATCAAAATGTTTATTGAATTTTGTGCGTGCACACTTTTAGTTTTTCGTTAATAATTGTAATTTTTTATTAAAAAAGTATTAAATTTTTTGATTAGCAATGAAAGTATATACTTTTAAGAATATTATACTAAAATTACAGTTCTTAACTATATATAGTACAGCCGGTATAAATTTTTGAAACTAGGGTAATCATTTTGTGAGTTAATTCGTTGTAAGTGACAATTTTTTGTGAATTGTTAAAAAACTTTGATAATTTGTTCAAAAAGTGTTAAATCTTATGATTTGTATCCAAAGTATATATTATACTTTTGGGAATATTATACTAAAATTAGAGCTCTTAACTATATATAGTACAGCTGTAATAATATTTCAAACCTTTTATAAACCTAATGAATTACAATTTGATAATGTAAATACTCGTACGTACGGGCCATTTTTGCGAAAATTGCAGAAAAGTTAATAAAGTATTAAAC